ATAGAAACAAAAATTTGTTTTTGATACCATGTCCACTCATAGTGAGGCATTTGTTGCTATTCATGCTTTTGAGGAGATAATAATGGATTTTTGGAGATGGAAGGGACTTATACCCATATCTCCAGGACTATTTAAACTTGCAACAGTACTACTATACTTTCTCATTTGAAAAAATGGTGTGAGGAGGCTGTTGTCCTGTAGCCCACTCACAGATCTCCCCATTTGTAGGATAATTAATGAAAATTATATTCCCTTTGTTGTCAGACACCCCTTATAGTGATCCCCAGTGACTTTGTCTTGTGGGATCAGTGTCCTCCTCTAGGGCAAGAGTTCAAGAGAAGTTTTGAGTGAGTCACAACACATCAGGCTAAGGTGTGATAGCTGCTTATAAAGAAGTGGGTTAGAAGACAGTTTAATGTTTGCTGTAGATTAGGCAATATGTCAAATCCCAGTTAAAATTAGGTATAGCCTTAAATTTATTTTTAAAAAAGTGTTCTTGGATTATTTAATGTGCAAACCCAGTTCCCTAAGGGTTTAATACTAGAAGTTCTTTACTTCAGTTTTGTGCTGCAGATCATTCACAAGCAGTCTGTATGTGCAGTATGCTGAAGTGAGTTTCTAGCATGTGATTATCAGAGAAGTGGCATGATGGTGAAGAACATCAGGGATCGAAAATTCTAAGAGGAAGACAGAGACTGGAGGTGATCTTGAGAATAATCTGTTTACAAACATTTTACTCGTATTGAGTTTGGGTTTTTTTTTTTTTTTTGTTTGTTTTGTTATTAAAGGATCTTACCTGCCACTGATAGTGTTGCTTTGAGGATTAGGTGTCAACGAGCAGATTGGCTCCAGAAGAGACGTAAGGGTAGAATTTGGCAAGAACTGGGGTAAAAAAGAGAGCAACAGGAAAGGGAAGGGGAAAATGTAGGACAGACTAGGATAGAGAAGAAAAGAGGCTGGGCTCTGGATCATGTAGGGGGCTCTGGGAGAGATGCAGGATAAGTGGGTAGACATAGGAGGAGATGGGGGAAGTATGTCCAGGGCCAGAGGAAGGACAAGACAGGACAGGAATGGCTGAAGGATGAATAGGAAGCACAGTGTCTCAGCCCCACCAGTGAGCTCAGGGCTTGATTGCACTGCACATAAATACCTCTGAGCAACCTCAGCTACACATGTGTCATCCTCCTCCTCTGGGTTTTCCTTGGAGGATGATGTTTGGCTACAGCTGCTGCATTTAGGGCAGCAGTAGTGCCTGCGTTAAGCTCTGTTGCTGGCTTGTCTGAGGGAACATCTGCTTCCAGCTGGAGAAAACACTGACCTTGCAAAACAACATATTCAGGTGCTAAAGATCACTAGCATGAGGGTTTCTGATTAACATGTTGTTAAGCTATTTATTTTTTCCCATGGGATGACTTAATTTGGCTTCTGTAATAAAGGAGGCCCCAGTCTGCAGAAGCAGAAATAAAAGATGTTGAGCTGGTGCGGGAAGAGAGACAGACACACAGCCCAAGGGCAAAAGCAATCTCAGGACTTTCTGGTGAAAGCTGACAATGGAAGAGGGGGGACTGAATGGAATGCTGGAGGAAGAAATTCCAGCAGTGCTCACTGCACCTTGAAGGCATTTGAAGTATCAGCAGATGCTGCTCGAAAGGACTTACCTCATGTATGAGGCAAGAAGGACCAAAGTTAGAAGTAGGCAATGTTATCCTGCAGTACCTGGATTACAGCCCTGACTCTGCACAGCCTTGCTCAGTAATATTATTGATTTTTCTTTTTCTTTTCCTTTTCCTTTTTTTTTTTTTAATTATTTTTGTCACAATAACAGCTAATTGCTCATTCTTTGTTTTCTGGCTCTGATTCTTCTTCTTTTTTTTTTTTTTTTTTCCTGTTTTTACTCTAGTTGCACTGTTCCAGGGCTCAATTTTTCCTGACTACAGGAGGGGTGAGGGAGCAGAGAGGGAAAGAAAAGAGCAGCTTTACTTCTCCTCTGGGGTGGCTTGCAGACCCTGACGTTTTGCCTGAAGTGCTGGGGCACTGGAGATGTGACTCTCTCCTATAATACATCCTAAAATATAATGTGCCCAAACCCAGATCTCTCCCTGAGTGAGCTCTGCGACCTGAGCCTGGATAACAGGGGATAAAAGGTGCTCAGGTAACTGAAGACAGAATCAAGTCCTTGGTCAGCTGCTGCTTCTTTCAGCTTTACACAGATCGTTCATAAAACTTTTCCCATCAGTGTTTTATGGTGCTATGTCACCAAATCTGTTGTTTATGCATCTCAGATACCTTGGTGGCAGGGTGCCCGAAAAATAAAATAATTGTTCTGTAGCAGTTTCTTCTGTTTTATTAAGGATTAAAATATTCATCATTGTAATTGCCAGTTAAACTTGCACTTTGCACCAAATCTCCAGGGCCCCTTCTTGAATTTGCCAAGCGTGAGACATTACTTTTCTGAAACATTTTCCATCAATGATGCCATAGGCAATGTGTGGAGCTGTATCTCCCGAATACTTTCAATTTCTGATCCTGTTTCCTTAATTAATGTAAATATAAAAGTAGTGACATGGCACCTGAGTTTGGAAATATTTGCAGGATCATGATTTTACAGAAAAAAAATCAACTGCTATACATTGACCCACCAGCATGGACTTCACTGGAGCTACTTCAGACCCCAACAGCTGAACATTTAGCATGTAATAATCTTGTTGAAAATCAATGGATCTGTGGGCAATACCAGTCAAATGTTGGGTTCAACACTTGCATTACTCTTAGTAAAAGGGATTACAGAGGTAAAGTTGTTAACTCTGGATGGCTAGTCTGCTGAGATGAACAACAAGTAGAGGTAAGGCTGTAAGGACAAGATCTCTCAAGCTAGATTCATCAATATAGTTAATAGAAATTATTTTCCATTTGTCCAGGTAAGCAGAAAATAATTTACTCTTCATGAAAGGCATTGTTGGTTATGAAGAGATAGAAGAAATGTCAACTTTCGTGTGAAACAACATAATGATAATTTTCACAGAATCACAGAATGCTAGGGGTTGGAAGGGACTTTCAGAGATCATCTAGTCCAATCCCTCACCAAAGTAGGTTCACCTGGAGCAGGTTACACAGGAATGCATCCAGATGGGTTTTGAATATCTCCAGAGAAGGAGACTCCACAACCTCTCCGGGCAATCCTATTCCAGTGCTCTGGCATCCTCAAAGTAAAGGAGTTTTCCCTCATGTTGAGATGGAATTTCCTGCATTCCAGTTTGTGCTTATTGCTCCTTGTCTAGCTGTGTGAGCTGGCACAGGTGGGATGCAGGAATGACCACAAAACCACGGGTGAAATGCAAAGAGTAAATTTATTTTCATTGCCTCACCAACCAGGGATTCCTGAAGCCCCATCTCGGCAGAGGCACACAAGTGGGGACACAGGCATCACGGAGCATGGTCCATGCTAGATGATCACTGAACATGTTGGTTTTGTCTGTGTTTCAGGGATTTGCACAGGCATAGTTTACCACTGTGCTTTGATCTTTCCCACAACAGGGCAGGAATCTCAAGTATGTTCAGTAGCGTGTCTCTGAGTCTATCACAGGTCTATGTTATGCAAACATGGGTGTTCCACTTTTCCAACACACAAGGCTAAAGAACAGTTAGTATGATATATGTATTTTTCTACACTTCAGCTATAGTTCACTTGAACTTATTTATAATCCTCCTTGCCAATATTCTGTGGGTTGGTGTTTGTTTTTTTTGTTTTGTTTTTTTTTTTCCCACCTACCGCCAGAGATTCACATGTTGAAGAAATAGACTCTAAAGGGCTTTAAAGGGCTCTAAAGAGTCAGCTGTATGTGGTGAGAAACACAAAATCACCACTGGAGGCAGAGCTTAGTGAAGTATTTCTCCATACAGATCGCATTTGTCTGTGGGACAACATATTTTTCAAGGTTAGCAGCTGCCTGTTGGTTCACTGACATAATTTAAAAGTTATTATCGTTGTACTGTGTTAATGTCTCAGTGTACCTTCAAATCAGACAATCTAGTTCTCGTCCTTGATGGTAAATAGGTACAGAGTATTTTTGTTTATTTGCTTTCTTTGTGTCAAAGTGTTTTTCTGATGAAGGTAATCTGAAATAAAAATGTACTCTTTTTATATGACTTACCCCAAAATCTTAACAGTTCTTCTGTTTTTCAAAGCAGCTAGTTATTTGCAATTACGTCATCCCAGTACCCTCGTTTGTTAAAAATGGTTCCTTCATCCCACACAAACAAGAAAAGAAATAAAGCTAGGAGAAGTCTTGAAACACATCTCAATCAAATGTGAAAAAGTAAATTAAACAAACAAAAAAAGATAGAAAGAAACATTAAGAAAATTCCCATCCAAGTAAAATTATGCTTTATCTAGAACAAGAGCAACTTAAAAATTAAATGAGAAATTTAGTTTGTATGATAATGTTCCTTTAGGCTTACTTTCTTCTGTCTGCACTCTTTATCTTCTAATGCTATGTGATTCTAGCTTTTACTGTATGGTGGTTTTTTCTTTCCCTTAATGGCTAAGCAGGAAGAATGAAGGGTTGGAAATGGTCTTCATACACAACAAAAGCACACACTATTGAAAAAACCCTGTGGTGGTTGTTTCCTTCTTTTGCTTTTCCAAACAAAGCTTAAAAATATATGTCCCATCATCAGTCATTTCGGCTTTTGCATTATCTAGGTTCAGTATTATATATAAAACATTCACTGATACATTAGTGGAGAACATTTCTTGCTATTTTGATGTTGCCTTCCCTGTCCCTGTTCTGCTCAGCCCATGCAGCCAGTGAGAACCTGGTTTGCTTTCCCACCCTGTCTTCACAGTCCTTAAATCATTAAAAGCTAAAAGGGGAGAGTGAGTCCAACCTCTGAGGTGTTAAGATTTGGTCTTGATCCTTTAAACTCTAAATATGGGGCTTTGGATAAAACCTGTAGATTTCTAACAATAGCGTCTTTCTTTTTTTCCCCTCCAATTTTAGGCTTACTTTAACCTTATCCTGTCCCATGGACTTGAAGAATTTTCCTATGGATGTACAGACATGTACAATGCAGCTAGAGAGCTGTGAGTATCCAATTGCTTTATCTAACAAAGAACAAAATTTTACTATAGCATTTGGTGGTTAGATAGTATCTACATTGTCATATTTGTGTGGTGAGAATCAATATTCCTATTTTGTAAGAGAAAATCACAAAGGAGCAGCACTTTATCTGTCCATCAGCATACTGTGAGGGTCCCCTGTTTCCTCTGTTGTTTCTGCTCCCTTTTCTTTTCCCGCTCCTGGGGCACATCAGCCATCAGGGCTGCATCACTTTCAGGGATGACCACAGCAATACTCTGCAGGAGAAATTAAATCTCAGGAAAGTAAGAGCAATTAGTGCACAGCCAGGGTTTAGCTATGTCTGATGAAGATGTGCTCTGTTCTTTTGAAAAATGGAAGGAACATACCTGACAAAGCAGAGGTCCTGTAGGTGTGCTTACGGTAGTCAGGTAAATACAGCCAAGGCATGAGCTTAGGTACCGGCACACACTTATCTGTACCACATAGCTGTCAGCAAACCCTTTGTTTAAGTGTGTCAGGATGCAGCTTATTTATTTTACCCATAAATATGTAGCTATTGCAGTCATAAAGAGACTTCAGGGAGTTGAAACCTCTCTTTCCCCTCTGGACCTCTCAGTGATATGTTCGTAGGTTTACAAAAGCTGCAGTTGTCTCTTTGGTAAGGGCCCAGCCCTCTGCAGAATAGAAGTCCTTGTTTTGTTGGTGCCCACAAGCTACCTCATCAAAGAATAGTGAAAATAAAGCAAAATGCAGGCTGATACATAGGCACAAAGAAAATGTCTTTTCAGTTGTAAACAGTATCTTTGATGGGCCAACAAAATTTTTTTTAGAGGAAAACAGGGCAGTATTTCAGAACATAATGGTGTTACATGTTGCTCTTAATAGAGTAATAGTGCAGGAGTAGTAACTGGTAACTAACAGCATTAATCAGACAGTTTAAAATTACAATTGAAATAACATGCATTTCAATAAAAGACATGCTTCTCAAACACAACAATATTTGCTTTTGATGTTTCCCAGTTACCATGTAATAAACCCTGATTTCTTTCTTGTAGTTGGCTACACTATGAATGATCTGATATTTGAGTGGCTAAGTGATGGACCTGTGCAAGTTGCAGAGGGTTTAACCTTGCCACAGTTTATTTTGAAAGAAGATAAAGAACTCGGTTATTGCACAAAACATTACAACACTGGTGAGCATTATTCTGTTTCTTCTATTAATTACTTTAATGGTACATATTGTCAATTTGTAAAGGAAGAAGATGAGTAAAATGAAAAGAAATATTTTGAAATTCAAAAATTCAGCCACACACTTTTAAAACTGAAAAAATGAATTTTTCTCCGTTTTATTTTTTTGTTTGAAATATTTTTTTTCCAAATTTCCTTTAATGTCATTAAAGATATTCTAATATCCATATTCTAATATCCTTAAAATCATCATGGCATTTATAATCTAAAAAACAAGATTAAAATTCTAGTTGTTTCGATTTCTTTGAAATGGAACATTTTAAACAAACTGAATCTCTTCTTAAATATTGATTCAGCACTTTTAAAGTACTGATTTTCTGAACTTGATTTGTTTCTCCATCATATCAAAATGTCAATGAGAAAAAATATCAAATTTTCACCAGCTTTTATGTGGGGTCTAATTTATGAAACATGCTATTTGAAAAGACAATGCTTTAATTGCTGATCTGCATAGTCTACAGATGTGAAATGATGAGAAAATAAATTGCTTAATACTGTACTCTTTTTCCTATATTTGATATTTTGAAGTTTCAAATGCTATGTATTCTATCTTTATGTTTACAGAACAGAGAGAACTCTGTTAAAATTTGGATTTAGCTTCTTGGAGTCTATTTAATAAGGATAGCATTTAGAGAACGGTTTGCTGGATGCTTGCTGAGATTAAATATAATCCCTTTCATCTAAAATAGTTCTTTCATCATTTCAATGTAAGAGCCAATCTGGTGGCATCAAATACATTTGTTTCACTCTGTGAAAAAAAACACAACATGAGGAATTCTTCTTCAGCCAAAACTAAGTAACATTCATTTCTTATGAAAAGAAATCTATTGTTTTTAATTTTTACAAATACAGCTTCTCATTTGGGTGCTCAAAGTGCCAAGGAAGGAAAGCTTTGTGATTCCACCGTCCAAGACCCATGGAATAGGGACTGCCCTGACTTCCTGTCTTTTCTCACACGTAAGGGGGATCATCAAGAGCAAATTCCAATAGACAGAGTTACCCATTTGTGATTTGGCTGATACAAAGTTCAGGCATTTCCCAGTACATAAACTCTGAATAACTGAGTTCATCTGCTTTTCTAATTACTGTCAGATAAGCATTTTGCAGGGGTCAAACACTGAAAGTAAGATGAGGGACAGCATGAAAAATAGGGTTTTTGTACACCCACAGAGATTACCCACACAAGATAAAAATGCCAATTAATAGCTCCCATTACATGTAGTTAAACAAAATGAATGTCTAATTATCAAAAGTTAAAAGTGTGTGGCCTGGCTAGGGGAACTGAAAGGCAGATTCACGCAAAAGAAAACTTTGCCTACAGGCACCTACTCCACTGTCTTCTCTGTAACATGCTCCTTCAGGTTTGCTATGAAATTCAAATGTGGATAAATGCTGTATTATTTAGCCTTTTTCTCCTATCCAAGCTGCAAGGTTCTCTGTCCCACTTGCAGGGATGGAATCCAGACAGCATGTGACAGATTTGACTACTCTAATGCCATTGCTGCTACACATGGCCACCCCACACCTTTCGAGTCCCCTTCCATACAGGCAGCCTGGTCAGGATGAGTTGCTCTCCAGGTTTCAGAGTCTGTCTTCAGGGCCACAGGTCAGGCAATTCAACAGGTCAGATCATTCATATATAACTGTCTGTCCTGCTAAAAGATGTTTTTCAGTTCTCCTACCCTGTCTTTGCCAAACAGCCACTGCATTGTCCTTTGTGCCAGCTTTCCCACCCTGCCATCCAGCTTTCTAGACTAGCAAAAAAAATATGCATGCATCACAAAAAGGAGCAAAAAATCTAATTTCACCTGAAAGGGTGAACAAGGAACAATGCATCTTCATGCATTTGACCAATCAAGACAGAAGAGGTCCTTTGAAAATATTAGCATGACATCTCAGGAAGGACAGACATTTTTGAGCTTGGTTTAATCTGCCTGAAGTAAAAGCCTACACAGTACCCAAACCACAGTCAGGGCACGCAGTCATTTGGAGAGCAGCGTGGAGTGATTGGATTAGTCACTGATGAACTGTTACAACTCAGGGCTCTGCATCCCTAGCTGCACAACTAGCTCCCTTTTCAGGCAATCTTAAGTTTCTCTCCTCTTCTACCCCTGTGGAACAGATATTTGTTGTGTGAAAATCACTCACATCCCACAAGAGATGGTTGTGGGTTTCCTGGAGTTAGACTTTTGGCAAAATCCAAAGTAGGCTTTGAGTTGATTCTGCTGTGAGAAACAATCAACAGACACAGGCAAATGACATGACCAGAATGAGAAGGGTTTTGATCTACCATAGGACTGTAAAACTGTTTACAACTTGTCTATTTAAGTATGTTTGCTTAACCTCATGTAATTAAAAGAGCAAAATGCTGTGCCTTTTCAATACTAAATATTATATTTGACTAAAGTAAAATCTTATTAAAATTTGAGAAAATAAACATTACATTATATTTTTGGAGGTGAAACAATTGTGCTAATATTAATTTTCTCAATGTGAATCAGGGGTCCCAGGCATCTCCCAGGCTAGCGTGCAACAAATGGGTGACTCACATTTGTGTACTAGGGCCTGCTTGCAGTGTTAGGGAAACAGGTCATGCATGTAACTTGTGTTCAGAAAACCAGATAAAAATGTGCAAAAAGCATTTATGAAAGTAATTTCATGTTCTAGGAAAGTTTACATGCATTGAAGTCAAGTTTCATTTGGAGCGTCAGATGGGATACTATTTAATCCAGATGTACATTCCTAGCCTGCTGATTGTCATTTTGTCCTGGGTTTCTTTCTGGATCAACATGGATGCTGCTCCAGCAAGAGTTGCACTGGGTATCACTACAGTTTTGACAATGACCACGCAAAGTTCAGGATCAAGAGCTTCCCTCCCAAAAGTAAGGAAATTATTTTGTACCCTCAGTTCATTATTAAGAAAAAATATTTGTAGTAATTTTGAAGTTTCTGAAAGATTTGTGCAAATATACATCTGCTAAGAATACAGGAGAATGTAGTAGCAGTGTGGTTTTAAACTGTTGCAAGACACTTGCATTTGGATTAACGCAGGTTTCTGCTGGTTTGTGGGATGACTGGGGGGTTCAGTGGTACAAATTTTAAATGAATTTTAATAGCTTTGACACTTAGTTTTCAGCATTTAAAAGCCAGATTTTTCTGAAGTATTTAGGTACCTGACTATGTTTCTGAAAACACTTTCATGAAAATTGTACATTCCATCTGACTGGTGACTTTATAAACTCACTCTGGTCTTTTCTAGACTGTTAGACTCTCAAATACCTTGATGTTTCCAGATATGGCACTTAGTACAATGGAAACATAAATATACATAAATATAGATGCATACACAAAATGCATATATACATAATGTATACACCTAGAAGGTTTCTCTGGAGAATCTTTTCAGTGAGGAACTGCTGATATCTTTCTTTTGCAGAAAAATTTGTCCATGTTCTCATTCAAGTGTTGCCTGCAGACTTCCATCCTGTCGATGCACAAAAATATCCTATCACTCGAATTTTGTGGTCTTTTTAATCCAGGCCAGATGCTGTAGATGGGTTTACAGATTACAGACTGGATTCTTTGTTTAGTCAGGCTGACAGCTCTTTTCAGCATGGGCACAGCCTGAATGATTCTGCTGATAGCATTCCCTGCAGAATTTCATATGCATGCTCAGGCTTTGTACAATTTTCTGGAAGAGAGCTCAGGCATAGATCAGTTTACAATATTCACAAGATGTACTCCCCGAAGAGTCCAGCATCACAGGGACCCGGATCATAAAGCCATTCTAGGAGCACTGAAAGTACAATTTTTGACTGTACAGATCATGATCAGTTCCAAAAAGCATGTTGCATTGTATTCTACTTTACCCTCAGTATCATATTTAGTCTCATTCCAAATACTGTAATTTGTTCAAATGGAGCATATATAGGGAGACTTCAAAACTTGCACAGATTGTGTTACTCTTCTGTTGGTAATGAGAAAGCATAACTTAAAAATCTGGTGACTACAACAGTTGGTTCAGCTTCACTTGTTCACTTGGAGATATGTATAAATTTCCATGCAGACTGAAAGCCTTTCATATATTAACTCAGAATTTCAAATGTATAATTTCTCAAACATTTGTTCAGACTATTCAGTCAATATTACCAAATGAACACTCAGAAAAAGAAGTCAACAAAGACAGAATCTTGGCAAGGAGCACACAGGATCTGCAGACAGCAAGTTTGGAGTCACCAAAGACTCTCTAGATGGTAAAACATGATTCCATGCTGATATATTCCAAGTTTCTTCCAAATTAACCAGACTGAGAATTAGAGGTGGTACAAACACTGCATTAGAGACTTCCACCCACATTTCCAACTGGGCAAACATACCCTGCCAAACAACTATGCAGTGGTAGCATGCCCAAAATGCTAATGCTTTAGAAAGACACTTTTGATCCAGCTGAAATGTTTCTCCTTTTTGTATTCTGCCTCTTTTGAGTACAAAAGTATTTTCTGGGCTTCTGCTGAGTGTAGGAAATGGGAAGATCCAGAATATGTTGACTGTGGCTGTTTGATTATCAGAGAGGTTCTTCTCCAGCCTCAGGATTAAATAGAGAACTGTCAGAGAACAGTGATGCTCTGGATCTACTCCATCCTCTCCTAGTGTTTCTGCTGTATTCTTTGCCAGAAGATTGGAAAAGTACCTTACCAGAGAGCCCAGCACTCTTGTTTCAGTCAGGCTACACCCAGTTGTTGCAATTCCACTGTGTAATTCAGCTGAGCTGTATTTTACAGCTTTGGTCTCTATATAAGACCAGTACTGTTTAACATCTTTGTCAGTGACATGGATGATGGCATCAAGTGCACCCTCAGCAAGTTTGCTGACGATACCAAGTTGTGTGGCGCGGTTGACACGCTGGAGTGAAAGGATGCCATCCAGAGGGACCTGGACAGGCTGGAGAGGTGGGCCACTGCCAACCTCATGGAGTTCAACAAGGCCAAGTGCAAGGTCCTGCACCTGGGTTGGGGCAATCCCAAATACAAGTACAGGCTGGGTGGGGAATGGATGGAGAACAGCTCTGAGGAGAAGGACTTGGGGGTACTCGTGGATGAAAAGCTGGACATGAGGCCCCCATGTGCACTGGCAGCCCAGAAAGCCAATGGTATCCTGGGCTGTATCTAGAGAAGTGTGGCCAGCAGGTCGGGGGAGGGGATTCTGACACCGTTATCTGCTCTGGCGAGACCCCACCTGGAATGCTGCGTCCAGCTGTGGAGCCCCCAACATATATTGATTGGTTGGAGTGAGTCCAGAGGAGGCCACGACGATGATCAGAGGGCTGGAGAACCTCTGCTATGGGGACAGGCTGAGAGAGTTGGAGAGAAGGCTCTGGGGAGGCCTTATTGCAACCTTCCAGTACCTGAAGGAGCCTACAAGGAAGCTGGGGGGTGGTGGGAACTCTTTACAAGGTCGTGTAGTGATAGGACAAGGAGTAATAGGTTTAAATTGGAGGCAGGGAGATTCAGATTAGATATCAGGAAGAATTTCTTCATGGAGAGGGTGGTGAGGCACTGGAACAGGTTGCCCAGAGAAGCTGTGGATGCCCCATCCCTGGAAGTGTTCAAGGCCAGGCTGGATGTGGCTTTGAGGAACCTGGTCTAGTGGAAGGTGTCCCTGCCCATGGCAGGGGGTTTGGAACAAGATGGTCCTTAAGGTCTCGTCCAACCCGACCCATTCTATGATTGTATGATAAATGAGTTAATCCTCATGGGGGCACTTGAAGATGTGCCAGCTGACTTAAAATGTGATTTTAAGTAAATGCTAGCATACCCTGTCAGCTGACTCCCTCCTCAGATGAATCAGGTGCCTGAAGAAACACGGGACTGACCAAAAGCCAAGTGCTTCAAAACGGGCTTTGTGTGCACATGTAGCTGTATAACCATGTATAGCCATACAGGTCTCACGTCACCAGTATCTGATGCCTTACACAAAGAAGAATCAAGCTTTTCTTGCTGTTGCTCTTACAGGCACCCAGTCATTTAAAAACCTCATCTGTAACTTAATACCAAAATGTATTTCTTAATACAATCTGTCCAGCTTAACTGCATTTAGAAATAGAAATATGAAAATAATTGAATCCAATCCGTGTTAAATATGAAGTCCCCAAATGGCTCTTTAAAAATAATGTTTTTCTAAGTCCTGTCTATATCTTGCCAAGGCACAGGAAGTTAGGCTGTCAATAAAACATCCATTTAAAAATTGCTCCCAGCATGAATATAGAACAGAATAAGACATGACAGGAGCATTATTTTTGCAAGAGTACTGAAAAAAACTATTGCAACTTTGCTTTGTGAAAGCAGCCTAGATTTGAATACAAGTTATATTATAACCCCATCCTTCTTTGTGTCCTATTCTTATTAACACATATTTATACTTTACCTATTGTCTCATGCCAAGGATTTCTTCTCTTTCTTCTCTATTTTAGTAAAGTTTTACCACAACCAACAACAACACAGCATCAAAACTCACCAGTTTTAAAGGGAATAATTCCATTACCTGAAAAAGACAAAGAAGAATGGTAATGAGAAGATTCCCAGTTAGGGTTTTTTTTTGCCAGTTTCCTGACAAAAGTTGCTGTCTAAATTATGAAAGTGATACTGTTTAGAAGTAATTACCTATATATTGTTCTCAACCCTGGTATAAGATTACATGTCAGACTTCTGTTTTCTTAAAACTGCTATTTTCCGTATTAATAACTACTATGTATTTCAATACACGGATTTCATAATGATAGGTCATGACAACATACACATTAGTCATTCAGTTATTAGAAATTAAACATAACCATGAGATTGGTGAAAAGAGAGGAGAGGAGAGAAGGCTAATTCCAGCTGAGGCTCATGTGTGCTGCACATAGGAGAAACATTTAGAAAGCCTCTTCCAAATGAAATATAATTGTATTCTTTTGGTAAATTTTTAGTATTTCTATGGTATTATCATTATTTTAATAATTTGAAATTCTGGCTGAGAATATAGGGTCAAATATCAGTAACATAGTAATACCGAAATCAGTATGCATTTTTTTTCTTCTACAAAGTTGATTTTATTGTTACAAAATTAAGAATAAACAGTGAGAGAGTTTACATCCCAGGAAAACTACTGTTCTAGGAAGGGAGACCTGCAGTGCCTGTTTCAGAAAGCAGAAAAGTTGTCTTCCTCTACAGTTTTAGCATAAGCTGAGAAATACCATTTCCTGCTTCCTTCCTGGACATGAAATAATGATTTGCTGTATAGGAAGTATCTGCAGAGAAATATTCACCATGTTGTCAACCTCTTCTATAGTGATAAAATTATTCTGTATTTGTTACAGGAAACTAGTGAGGGGTCCTGAGGCCAGAGTTATCCTAACACTGGCTGTGTTAGAGGGTGGTAAGGAAGTCATCCAGAAAGCTTGGGTTGAATACTCTCCCTCCAGTTTGGCTAAGCCACTTCTGGGATGGCCAGGAATGGTGATCCAAAATAGCAGGGTTGCTATGACAAGTTTCCCTTTCCCTTACTGGTTCATGTGTAGAAGTCTTACACACATCTGATACTCTGCGTCCAGATTCCTCTGTTTGTGTCATCATTTTCCATTTAGAAACTGTGGCTAGATAAATGTTTGTGCATGTATCTACACCAGAAGCTCTTGCTGATCAACCAGCTGAGCAGAAATCCTGGTCACCATCTGGGTGAGTACCATGACCACATATCCACAATGAAACCCTCAGGAAACCCTGAGCTTTCTGTACGAGTCCTGTGCATGAGCCTGGGAGCCCCCTTGCACCTAGAGTCTGGTGGAATTCATCTACACAGAAAAACTCTACAGCACACTAATTGGGAATCTGATGTAACCTACCATATATCCACGAAATATC